ACACACACACACACACACACACACACACACACACACACACACGTACACAATAAGGCGCACACACGTTATCTCCACCCAATCCCTCCTCTTGCATGTGCCCTCCTCTCCTCTATAAGCCCCTCCTGGATCTTCTGCTCTCCTGTCCTCTATTTTCCTCTTGATGACAAAATGAATTTGCATATCTTTCCCAGGGAGCACTCATTAGAATGCATAAACCGGCCGCCTCCGAGCCTCATGATCGGGCTCCAGCTTTCTGCCTGCCGTGGCATCTCCTGGTGCAAAAATGAGACACAGACAGGCAGCATCACAGGCAGACATGTGGCCTGAGTCTGGGTTGTGATTGGCATTTGGAATCAGTTCACCCTTCCCATTCTTAATTCAGGGATAAGAATAAACTCTGTGTCAGCCATTTTTCTTTGTTTCTTAACGTGCTGCTTAGCATAAGCCTTTTTTATTAAATATCAATTTCTTTACTAATATGTTCAGAGAAATAATTAACCATTGTCCAGCACATATAGGATTATCCCCTGTAGGCATATGAGTATTTTTTTGCAAGTCATAATGAACGTGGACATTTTCTTTATTTTAGCACCCCACCCCCTTCCACTGCATTTCAACAGACAAGACAAGACAAGTCTTTCAGATGATTACATTACCTCCACTTTGAGCAAAGTGAGCGAGTCATCTTAAAAAAATCTCTTTCATGGCTCCAAATCATTTTGCAGATTTCTTTTGTAGGCCTGGCCAAGTGAAAGGATCATTAATTGTTCTTAAGCTTGGCCTAATGGTGGCGCTAGAGCTCAGGTCACTGGGTCACAGAAATATGAATGTTACCTGAAATATGAATCTACACAGAATGCACAATTTCTCTATAGTCATAATAATGATGATAATGATAATGTTAATTGATGCAGCCCCCTCCTTCAGTAGAATAAACAGCAAGCCGTTTAATGTGTGTATTAGTTATAAATCAGGAAACAACATAACAACACAGTTAATATGAGAGATGCACTAATTCAATAAATGTGCATCTTATCCTGGTGACGGTGAAAGATCAAGGTCACAGGGTCATTAAGGTCATTAGGTGTCTTTGACTAGCACGACATATTGTATGCCTGCATAAGATTTTTCAATAACTGGCATTGATCAGATAAACAAATGCAATTACGCAATCTCTTAACACTTCTTTGCACAGGTAATAAGGTTAATTATTCAACCGTACAACAACACAGTGAAACAAGGTTTTAAAGACATTGTTGAATAAATACCTGATATGCAGGAGACATTTTTTTGCAAAAACTACAGGAACACCCAATGTGACAAGACACATTCTGTCCTGTAGTCTGTGTGAAATCATCAATTGGAAGGACGCAGTTAGTACTGGTAATAAAGTGGTTACACATCTGGAACAACAGCCTTCAAAATTAAAAATGTTTTAGAAACCCTGTGAAAGCCATGTTCCCATCGTATAGCCTAATATATTTAGCTGGAGACAACGAGTTGAACTTAAAAGAATAGTTTCTTCACTGTTGTCATTTTCCTATTTGAGTATATTGCAATCTAGTGCTTGAACCTGCACTTCAGTGCACTACACAGTGTCTGGGGTTGAACATCTGCAATGACACAATGATACAGATATGTTTTATCTATGGGACCTTTTTATTTATATCTATCGGAACAGACATAAAAGCAAACCTGGACTCTTTGCCACTATATGAAAATAAAATCATTATCTTGCCTTCACAGTGACTATAAACTGTTTCGCACCATATTAACCAGTGTTTTAACTGGGCAGGAGCACACTTTCAACCTGCAATCAGCAACATGATTTCAATCAACTATATGAAGCCCATAGGAATGAGGAACAAAAACATATTTTGCAGAGAAACATGAAAAATAATATATGTATATGCACTGAATACCTTTATCATGATGTCTGGGGACTGCAGACTCTTATGTAAACAACCACAGCACCAAGTAAAATGGATTATTAATGACACAGAGAATTAAGAGAAAGCAATAGAATAAATAAAAAAAACATATCATCACAGCCAGTGTGACGTTTTATTTTTTCCATCCAAATGATGCACTGAGTCCATTAATCAAAGGACACATGATTGGCTGGGTTCATTTCGTGATCTCACTCCAACGTGCAGCTGAAACCATAACAACTTCACATCCAGCGCGGGAAATGCGTGAAGTTCCTCCTCACGCACTTTGCCCAGGTGTCATTTGCAAATAAGCTGCAGAGGAACGCACAATGCAGGTGGTCGCTGAGGGGGGGGTGGGGGGGAAGTGAGGAGCAGGAGGAGGAGGAGAGGAGGGGGGCGGCGGCCCGTGCATCGCGATCGGACGGCGTCTCGCAGCCCTGTTTGCGAGCGCAGCCCGTCTCATTCACTGAACTCCTTCCACTGTACACTGCGCTCGACGTAGTGAATTGAATACTATGGCGAACACCCTGCACTACTACCAGCGGCTCCCCGCACGCTGCTCGCCCGTGTTTTCGTATCCACGCGCCTCGGAAAACTTCGGTGACGTTTCACAAAAGACGGCCAATCGGCGCGCGTGTTCTATTAGGACAATGAAAAGCCGGCGGCCAATCGCGGCAGCGCCAGACCGGGAGCCGGCCAATGGCGTGCGGGCCCCGCCGAGAGTAATGTTAGCGAGCTGAAGACTGAAGACATTGCGTATCGCTGCTCCCTCGTACACAGCCATTGCAGAGCGCTGAGACCCAGAGACTGTCCCTCGGTGAGTATCACACAGCAACACTCAAACTGTCCGGAATCCGCTCCAAACCACCGCGACGTGCATCGTTAACACCCCGTGCGTGTTAACCGCGGTCGAATTTAACGCATTTTGTCGCTTGTGTGTTTTTTATTTCAGCAAAACCGTGTGAAAAACACAACAACAAGTAAAAAAATTAAATAGCCGGCGCTCAGCGGCTAACGTCACTCTGCCTGTGGGAGTGAGAGGCAGACGCTTGTAAGGGGGGAAAAAAAAGGGGAAGAAATAATATTAACCTTGAGCGAATTCGACGAAAAACGTCGATTTTGCTGAATAGGATTAATTTTGTGTTTTGCCTTCGTGTTGTTTGTAGAAAATGGAGGCGAGTCGAACGGTGGTTATCGCGTAAAAATTCCCGAATGTCCAGCGGACGAACGCTGTTAGCGACAATGGTAGAAGATCACCGTTAGCTAGCCATTGCAGTGCATTGCGAAGCTGAATGACTGTCATGCGAAGAGCAGCGAGCGTGCGGCTCCGAGGGAAAGACGCGAAAATTCAGGGAAACACGAGAAAAAGAGAGGCCGTGTCAAGACGAGCACACCCGTGGGTCTGTCGGGTGAAAGTCACCCGAGGAGACAGTGGAAAAATTGCCTCACGATCTGCGCTTTTACTGTAATGGCTGACTGTATTCGCATAGGAAACAAGGCAGCGAGGCAAATGGGAAGCCAGCGACAGAGGCGCAGTTCACTTCAACTTTTTCTAACCGTGTTTTCTAGCGAAGCGAACCCGCAACTGTGGCATCTAACGACGGCAAAAGAAAGCCCGGGCTTCCCTTGTTCCAACGGCACCATTGCGGGATTTTTCCGCCGCTGTTAAGGGCTTTAAACCGGGCTCTGAAGTGAAGTGGTCGCCGCGGTCGCTCTGCCCTCTATTGCATGCAGTGCAATGGCTGTGCGCTGACACAAAGAGAAGGAGCCATATTCTCCATGTTAGTGGATGAAGACGAGCGGCCATTAGGAGCTCATAGAAACCAAGTCAGTGGCTCAGCCCGCTCATAGACACAGCGCAGACCCAATGTATTACTATACAAGGCGGCCAGTGCAATAGGATTCAATCGGGGGAAATATTTTGCCAAGATCGCCGGCTTTTCGAGCATATCTGTCGTGTTGCAAAGCGAACTGCGGGGCGGGAGGAGACATTTGAGGGGGACTTTCTTTCATGAGGAAGGCATTCTCACAAAATGGAAGAAGAAATATTGCCGTCGTTGTTGACCTCCTTTTCCTCAACGAGAGCCTATGCGCCATTACTACTTCGGTCGACGCAGCTTTACTTGGAGACTCGCTGTAGCGTTTAATGGAAGAATATAGAGAAGAAATAACGCGTTTTAAAACACATTTTCACAACAGTTCGGATTTTTTCCCAGAATGACGGAAATCGAAGACTTAAAGGAAACGAGTGTTAAATCTCATCCAGACGCA